TACTGTTAGAAACTTTTAACTTTTTGCGAATGTTTAGTTTAGTTTCTTCGTTGAGATCCTTACTATGTTTCTTATTATTCTCTACCTATTAGGACTATTAAGACCTGTTAAGATAGTTTTCAAACTTTTAAGTAAGGTTTTTAAGAAACAACTCCCATCAAATAATATTGTTTCTAATGTTCTTAATCAGGAATAAATCGGTCGCAAATGATTATTACTACCAACAACTAATACCAAATTTTGTTTACATTTCGATCCATAATTTTAAACAAAATTGAACTACGTTCAACTAGCATTTTGTCTTCAGAAAAAATGATAAAATTCTTGATATGTTAAGTACTCGACTCAATCAATAACAATTGAGATTTAACTATATTTAGAATTGTGACCATATGATTTTGAAAGTTTGAAGCGGCTCATTTCAAACTTTTATAATTTTTTATACAGAAATTATAAAAGTTTGGAATGAGCCACTTCATATTAATTGAACTTAATCTGTCTTCATATTAATTGAACAGATTAATTGATTAACAGATTAATTATTAAGAGATTAATCAACTTCATATTAATTGAACAGATTAATTGAACTTAATCTGTCAAAACCATATGACATTTGACGTATGAGCTGCCTATCATTGTTTTATTTTGAATTACGCTTCTATAAAAAAAAATTAAATAAAAAAGCAAAGTTTCTACGCGGTTTTGAAATAATTTTTCATCTTTTGCCCAATCTCTGGATTAGTAAAAATATTTCAAGACTTAAAGTAACCAAATCGGTTTAGCCGTTTTCGAGTTTTACCGATTCTAGCATAATATCAAGCTTTATTTACATTTATAAGATCATAAACATACAAATACATTTTTCAATGTCATATTATTCAGAATGACATGAAACATAATCTATAATATAAAAATGAATCGCAAAATGTGTTGGTAAGTGCATAACTCAATAACGCGTGGACCCATTTGGACAATTTTTTTTTTAAAATGTTCGTTGAAGTCCAAAGATGGTTCTTACGGCAAGAAAAAATCGAATAATTTCGGGGAAAACCCTAAAAACAGCCCTTTTCTTTTTCACATGCGAACGTTAGTATTTTTATATTTTTGCCATCGCATACGAAATATTTACTGAAGTCAGTGGAGCGTTTAGGGTCTGAATTTTTTTACTGTGCTCCAATTCGAAAGAAGTTTTAAAATTCGGTTTATCTTACTCTCAAGTTCAAAAGTGGGGGGATGGCATCGCTCTCAATGGTGTAATTGCATGTTTTTTTCGGATATCGGTAAAAGAACTAATTATAAAAAAAAATGTTTTATAATGATTTTCAAAAGGCGAACACTCATCATTTTTTATAGCAGTTGTACATTTAAGATCCATATGGGTGGTTGTATATACATTTCGGTATAGACTGTAGTGTAGAAAACATAATACTTTTAAACTAATTGGTAAATATCAGTATATGTTATTAAAAAAAAAAGAACTTTTGAATTGTAAACATAAGTACAGGACAACGTCTGTCGGGTCATCTAGTATATAATAAAAATGTATGTGTTGAACTTTGCTTCTTTTTAAATTTTTTATTGTATTGCTATTTTATCTATTAATTTAAGATGATATTTTAACAACATCACACGTCACAAGTTACGGTTATGGAATCTTATAATTAAAAAATGTATTTGATAATAATTGCTGATAAATAATGAATAAATTTATAGCATATATATAAATATATCTATGTATATACCACCTTTGTGTACGTATATAAATTGTATTTAAACAGATATAAACTCTAGATTACAAATATGTAAATCTGTTAAAATTAGCATTCATTTCTATTGCGTTTGGAGAGCGATAAAAACCTGCTTATGCATATGATTCACATTAAAACTTATTCATTATTATTCTCCGATAATTGTATGCAAGTAGAAAAAAAAGTATTACATTTTCTTTTTCTTCACTTTGAAATGAAAAATTGCAAATAAAGAATTTGTTCTCCTTTGTGACCAGCAAAATGGAGCGTGGGACCAGAACATTAGACAAATTATTTACGAAGCAAATTATTTCACATTGACTCACAATAAAAATGAATCGTCGACCTGGTGGGATGTTTTCACACGAAAAACGAATCGGGAAATGTTATATATGTTACGGTTAAAAATAATGATAGTGGTAATAGGAAGACTGAATATTTTATTTTTTGCTTCTTATAGGTCAAATGAGTAAAATCCTTATATTAATACTCGCCTTCAGTTTAAATAATAGATAGGGTAGGACGGGGCACAAAGGGAAAATTATATTGTAAAAACCAAACCAATTATATCACAACAAATAACACATATCACACAAACAACTATATGACTATATTCACTAAAACTCCCAGCTAATTTTCGTCATTGTAGGAATATCTTTCTTTTTGCTTTTTTCAAAAATTTATCACCAGGTCCCATAGGCGGGGTAAAATAGCCAGGGGGGGCAAACAAATTCAATGCCTCATTTTAATTATTAAATGGATTTTACGAATAATATCTACATTATTCGACCAATACAAAATATGAATTTCATAGGTACTCCCAGTTGATTAACCATAGTAGAAATGTGTTTATTGGCTATTTTTTAAACATTTGTCACCTGGTCCTTTTCACCCCATAAAGGAGATAAAATGGGCAGCCAGGAAGCAAAAAAGTCCAATGACTTATTTCTAATTTTTAAAGAATTTGACGAAATAATGACATTATTCAACCAATGCAAAATATGAATTTTATGGGGACATATTTTATAGAGATAAGATTGTATATAACCTTGATCTAGTAAATTTTCATCAGAATAATAACTATTTATTCAACTTACCTTTAGAGAAATTGTTTTTATGAACTCAAATAATATTTTTATTTTTATTTTTTATTGTTTGTACCTTTGCCAGGGTGAATAAACAGTTGGTCCTTTTTACCCAACCCTCATATTTGAAAAATGTTATATAAAAAACTGTTGAATCTATCTTTAAAATAACAATACATTTATCGAAACAATTGAATAACGTATACTTAAAAAATTATATTGAGGTATGGTAAACGAAACAGCAGTGCTCACAACCAAAAAACGAAAAATGAAATAAATTACTTTTGTTATAGATTTTGAAACATAACCGTTCATCTCCTGATAACTACGTTGCTTGTTTAATGGCGATGACATCTTTTGCCCTCTACTTTCAAATATTGTTGATCAAAAAAAATTAATTTTCGATATACTCTATATCAGGGGTCGGCAAGCTTTTAACTGTGGTGTGCCGACCCACTCTACCAATATGATTCAGGGTGCCGCCTGAATTCTGTAATATATAACCAGGTTCTGGGGGAGAAGAATTATAACCAAATTTATCTTTTAAACATTTTTATTAACTAGTGGGGTGCATGGCATCGTGCCTTAATTCAAATTGCTAGAACTTCCCATACTGAAATTAAAAATCATGGTTCTGAACCCAAAAAACATTACACAAAATATGTACACAGTATTAAAATCTCTATAAAATATCTGATAATTTGATGTACATAAGTCCAATGGGTGTAAAAATACTACAATGTTTATAAAAATACTACAATGGGTGTAAAATTACTACAATGTTTGTAAACAATACTACAACGGGTGTAAAAATACTACAATGGGTGTAAAATTACTACAATGTTTGCAAAAATACTACAATGGGAGTAAAATTACTACAATGTTTGTAAACAATACTACAATGGGTGTAAAATTACTACAATGGGTGTAAAAATACTACAATGGGTGTAAAATTACTACAATGTTTGCAAAAATACTACAATGGGAGTAAAATTACTACAATGTTTGTAAACAATACTACAATGGGTGTAAAATTACTACAATGGGTGTAAAAATACTACAATGGGTGTAAAATTACTACAATGTTTGTAAAAATACTACAATGGGAGTACAATTACTACAATGTTTGTAAACAATACTACAATGGGTGTAAAATTACTACAATGGGTGTAAAAATACTACAATGGGTGTAAAATTACTACAATGGGAGTAAAATTACTACAATGTTTGTAAACAATATTACAATGGGTGTAAAATTACTACAATGGGTGTAAAAATACTACAATGGGTGTAAAATTACTACAATGTTTGTAAACAATACTACAATGGGTGTAAAATTACTACAATGTTTGTAAGCAATACTACAATGGGTGTAAAATTACTACAATGTTTGTAAACAATACTGCAATGGGTGTAAAAATACTACAATGGGTGTAAAATTGATATGTGGAAACAAAAGGTGAAAGGATAACGCATGCAATTTTCTTTAAACAATTAAATATTTCCGACAATGTCATCCAACAATTTAATTTTCCATGGAGTCGTCTTCCTGATTTTTTCGTAATTCCTTAAATTTTGTTTTCCATAATTCTAAAGATATTAGTTCCATAATTTCCATTTCAAAATCATCAACATTCATCCACTCAAAAATTGAAAAATCAAACGGTATTATTGATGGATCTATGAAATCTGGTTTTATGAGGAAGGAAAATTTAGGCACATAAGCTTTAAAGTCTTTGCATCTGGAAAATTCATCTTTAAGTGCTTCAATGTAGATTGAATTACATTAGCGAGCTACATTAGATAAGTAATTATATTTCAACATTTTTTCTTATTTAAAAATCACTTCGTCTCGATATATTTGCGATTGCCCTGATTATTTTGTAGAGTGCCATGCAGAACGCCGTCGCGTGCCAAGCCTGGCACGCGTGCCGTAGGTTGCCGATGCCTGCTCTATATGATCATAGCTGAAGTTTGGGTACAAAAAATCTGGTTACAAAAAATACATACATATAGGAATTCTTAAAACTGTTTAAAAAATTGTGTTTTTTAAATATTTATAAAAAAAAGAAATGAAAGAAAATTGCAATTTCGGTAAATCATGTTATTATAATAATTGTAGTATAATTTTAAAATATTTTATGCAATTTTGTCTATTTTGTTCCAGCTGGACGATGCTGCTCTGCAAGTTTACAAAGATGGTGACTACGGGGCATATTTGGATTTAGAAAGTTCCTTGGCAGAGCAACACGAAGAAGTAGAAGGTTTACATGAAGGGTAATTATTGACATTTATAATTTATTTATATAAAATAAATATATCATCAATAATATACAAGTTGTAATCATAAAAATATATAGGCCATTTGGTAGCCTTGTTGGGTTTGCCTAAAAATCGTCAAATCTTAGAAGAGTGCGCTAAAATTCTTATTCATAAGGTGACACTTTTTTAAGCTTTCCGGGACGGGGGGTCCTTAAAATAACAATTGCTATTTAAGGATACAATAAAAAATGATTGATATTAAATTATAAATTTTAGAAAAATCGGTACAATCCGGAACTAAAGATCTAAATCCGGAAGAAATATTGTTTTTTCTAAAAAAACCTGGACACGAGAGGTAGATTTTCGGGTCTGTTTGGACGTATGATCACTCTATCATTGATGAAGTGATTATTTATACGAATTAAAAAACATTTACCTTAAAATATAATGCCATTTACACCTGGTCTAAAATTAAGATAACAAACAAGAAGCCATGATACCCAACAAAGTAGCAGCCACAATCTCTATTCTAATTGCGCAATTAATTTCAACTCCTAATTAGATAATCTAAATATCACATTGTCCAAACAACATTATATCTTGTAAATAAAGTTTCTCGGCAATCTTTCTTCTTATTTCACTCAACAATATACTGTTTATTTAATTAAATACAATTGCAGGGCAATTACACTGTCAGAAAAACGAAAGTCGGTTTTATGGTTGACTAAAACATTTGGGTCATCCTCGACATTTGGGAATGAAAATTGTTTTTTATTTTTAAATTTAATTATACACGTGCAGAACATAGTAAAATTTATGCGGTGATAAAAATAAGAATTGGATGCAAATTTAAAAGTCTTGTTGTCTTTTTAGTAGATAGAGATATAAATTAATTCGAATAAAAGGCAATTTCGATTTTTGGACGATTACAATAACTTACTCTACGGGAAGTTAATTAAAGAGCTTTGTATCAATAACAAAGTTCTGTATTTTATCGGTGTCATTTTGATTTTATTGGGAGGTATTGAACTATTTTATTCTGATAGAAAAATATAAAATTTTTAGCAAATAAAATTAAATTTGTTCAAATCTAACATCTATTACTTGTGATTTACTGTAACGGATTTTTCCAGTTTTTTCCCGGTTCAATCTAACATCTATCGTTATTTACACAAGAAAATAAATTAATGCAAATAGAAAGTACATGTTTATTTCCGCAATAAGAGATTTCGCATCGACATCCGAAGCATATGACAATATAAATAAATATAATGGCTTCGCTTTAATCATCCGAGGAGAACTTTCGCTATACTATTCGACCTTATTGATACCGAGTAAAGACCCCCATTATTGTAAATTACTTCGACTAAGTAATAAAATAGAGTTAGTTTGACACTTTTGCTTATCAGGAAAATGTAAAAAAAAATTGATTTATGAACTTGATTTTATATATTACCGAAATACACAAATGGACAGCTACACGTGATAAAAAAAGTTCTTTTTTTACAGAACGATTTTTTATCATTAGATAAAAAAACATCGCAAAAAAATCGAAAATGAAAATTTTTATATATCTTTACGTTTCAAAGATTTCTGAATGTATTCTGGTATACCTTAGAAAAAATGGATGTATGTGTGCATGTGTGTATGTGTGTGTGCGGATACAAAGTTTTGTCGACGATTTCGGGAACACCGATCAACCGATTTGAATAATTCAAAAACATTTGATTGAAAGTTTCAGCAATTTGCCTTAAGGCATGATACCATACACCACTATTTTGTTCAAGTGAGATTATGTGAAAAATCGCCATTTATATTTTTTTAGCTAATTTTCGACACATGAAATATATATGTACGAGTATGTTTAATAAATGCAATTTTAATATCAAACAGTCAACAAACAAGAAATTCATGATATTCTATCTTTCTCTTTCCAATTATCGATTAATCAATTTTAATCATGATTAACTAGAGAAACATTCTAACAGTTAGCATAAGTATTAATAATATTTTGAAATTATAACTTGTTGACAAAGATAAAATTATTTATTTGTTTCAGCAGAAAAAATTCTTTGGTCGTCAGAACGCAGTTGTCAGTACGGGTTCATACTATTATTGGTAAGACGAAATTTATAATAGACATATATATATATATATATACGAGTATATATATATATGTATATATATATATATATACACATTAGAGTGGTCCCTTAAATGAGTGTTTTCATATTTTCTTGGTACCAGGTGCTCAAATGCTACCAAATTGATAAACAAATATTTTTTGAAAGTTTTAGCTCATAATATTTGGTTAGAGTGCACACTATCTTAAAGTTAATATTAAGAGCTAAAACTTTCAGAGAATTGTTTTTTATCAATTTGGGAGCATTTGAGCCCCTGGGAGCAAGGATATTTGAAAACATCCATATTAAGGACCACCTTTTTTAATTATTATATTTTTATCATTTTTTTTTATCAATTTGGAAGCATTTGAGCCTCTGAGAGCAAGGAAATTTGAAAACATCTATATTAAGAACCACCCTTTTTAAATATTATATTTTTACATTTAGCAAAATCCAAGAAATATAAATTTATGTTATATTCTTTGGAACCTGATGTGTATTAAAAAATCTACTTTAAACGATTTTAAGTCTTAAAAAGATGAATGTCAATTATATTCCTACAACTGAATAAATCCTAAAGTATGAGATTATGTCCTTATTTTCTCAAAATTACAGTAAATAACTATATATAAAAATGCCCTTTTCTTAAACTTAATAAAAAATGTATGTCAAAAGATTGTGCAAACGAAATTATATTTTTTCTATAATTTTTTTCATAATTATCGTAAACTGCTGTATAGAGAAAAAATACTTCTACCTTAAACCCATAAAAAAAATTGAAGTAATATTTTTACACCTGATAATAGAAGTTCTGAAATCCGAAATTGTATTCTTCCTTTTCACATAATTACAGTAAATTTTTTGTATAAAAATATATGAACCTCAAAACTCATTCAAACCCATTACATGTTTATGTTAGTTAAATTTCAACTTCCGATGTACAAATAAAAAATGTGAAATTATGTTCACTTTATTCTCATAACATTAGTAAATGTTTGTATAAACAAAAAATGCATTTACTCGTATACATACAACTATAAAGACGAACAAATTATGAAAAATCGATATTATGCTAGATGAATATTAGTTGGATTTTGGATTACATCCTTTGGTAAAGAAATGCACTAAAATTGTCCTCGAAACTTGAAAATATGAATTGGTTAACATGGCCAGGATTATTAAATACAATAATAATTTTCACACTACTATTCTCGAAACTATTTTCTAACAACCAACAAAAAAATAATTCCACTCATTCAAAATAATGATCCAAATGCATTGGACAAACTACAACTTTTTATTATAAAATCAAGCAGAAATAAGTGTAGCCATTAAGCACCACACAAAAGCACTGTAATAATTTAATGTTCGTAAACAACCGTAATTTTGTCTCACACAATATTTTTTAACATCAATTTTGTCCCTGAATTGACTGAGGAGAAAATGGATAATGCCACACATTGTGGTAGATTTTTTATGTCAAATCATAATGCGTGATCGTAGAATGTTGCGATGGTAGTTTTTGCAAGAATAAATTCCTAAAATAGTAAATAAACGACTCAATTTGGTTACTATTATTCTTTTTGCAGATAAGTTACAAAGTTGCGAAGGTCGTGAATTAAGAAGAGCCTTGTTTTCCTTAAAACAGACCTTCCAGGCTGATAAAGACTTGGTCCATGGATTTGTACAATTGGGAGGACTCGCATGTTTATTGCGAGTTGGAGCAGGGGCGGATCAGAATTACCAAAATTATATATTGCGGGCTCTGGGACAGGTAACAAACTAAACAAAATCATTTATATATGTCTGCGCCAACTCTATTGAACTTTAAGACTATAATTTGTCTTAACGACTAATGACTCTGTATTTTGTTACGTAGTTATAAAATGTATTAAAACTCTCCTTCGATACTCTGGTTGTTTCGCGGACTTTACTTTCAGAAGTGAACTACTAATTTAATTAAAACACTCCGCCACCCCTAGGTAGCAATCATTCCGTGTGAAGCTTAATGCCCTGAAGATTGTCACCTTCATGACCAATATAATAAAACGAAAATACGTTCGAACAGACTCCTTGTTAGTCAATTTCTACATTGTTCATCGAATTTTTTGAGCAGAACATTGTAAATCACTAACCAATAAACAATAATTATTGCACCATAGAAAAATAAATAATTTCTATCATCTTTTCCCCAGGTGATGTTATATGTAGATGGCATGAACGGTGTTATGGCCCATAATCCAACAATCCAATGGCTTTATACTCTAATAGCAAGTCAATATCGTCTTGTAGTTAAAACTGCATTAAAATTGCTTTTAGTATTTGTTGAATACAGCGAATGCAACTGTAGATTGCTGGTGCAAGCCGTCAGGATGGTCGACGGGAAGAACCATTCGTTGCCATGGAGTCACATTATGAAGTAAGTAGAAATAAAGTCATTATAATGATTGAGGAAATTGTTCTGGTCAATTCTGTGGAATAATAACTGCCCAAGAAAAGCAAAATTATTCGAAATAATCTATTGGACTTAATAAATTTAATATTGGTCAGCTTCATATGTAAGATCAGACTCCATGGAGTGAATTCTAAAGTATTTTCTTCTATTTGAATAAGAATTTTCATTCCATGTCTCTATCATTGGATCAAAACTAAATACAATAACGATCTGTGTATTATTATAGTTTACTACGTGACTTCGACAATGCTGATACAGAACTATTGATATATGCAACGAGTCTTTTGAATAAAACTCTCAGTGGATTGTCTGATCAAGATAGCTATTATGACGAAACCGATTTCCTAGAACGACAAGGCATGGAGGGCATTGTCCAAAGGTGAGGAGAATTATTTTATTTATAGTAGTTAATTAATTTTATTTAGAACTAGTTATGCATGGCATCGGTTCTTGATGCAAATTGCTGAAACTTTCCGTACCAAAAATTAAAATTTTTTAAAAAGATTTTTTTTTAAACATTGAATTTTGAAAGTTTTGAGAATTTTGAAAAAAATATTTTTTTGAATAAAAAAAGAAAGAAAGTAGAATGAAACAGTGGCATATTTCAAATTTGACCATAAATTTGGAACCTGCAGATCAAAATGTACTCCAATTCATACAACCATCAATAAAAATGTTATGGCAAGGCCATGTTATGAAGAATTTTTCATACGAAATATTGAAAATACCATGTGGTTTGTGTGCAGTCAGGCGTATTTCTCAGGTTGTCAGATAGAAAATGGACCCTCACTCATATCAAAAAACGATGTTAGATAACAGGGTCTTTCTGACCCAACTTCATAATATACGAGTGACGTTGCAGTTTTTGTGGAAAACGACTGAATGCACAGCAAAAACATAATATTTTTACAGTATTCAGTAAGATTCAGTAGCATAATGTATGGAATTTGGAGCGTAACATTGCCTTGCCATAACATTTTTCTGTTATGCGGCAGAATAGATCCCATAACTTCTGTTTCCTCAAAATTGTATTTCCTGATTAGTCATAAACATGAATTTTTAAATTGATAACTATTTACCTCATTTTTTTTAAATTGATAACTATTTTTACACTATTTTCATAGGTATATGTCCAGACCAGGCACAGACTTGGATTTACTGAGACAGCTCCAAGTTTACGAAGCTGTATTACGATTTGAAGACGGAGATGACGAAGGTTTGAGGTAAATATTTCTATACCTTGTTCATTAAAAATAGTATTTTCTGTATCGAAAGTAAAGCTTCGACTTCTCTATGTGTCAGTTTATGAATAGGTCTTGTCAGGTTCTATATTTATTAATTGTGTATTACATTTTTTTAGGCAACTCGATGATACGATACGCAAAACGCTTCGAGACCGACCAAATAATCCCAACGAACATTGCGAACGACGAAAAAGTAGAAGGCACAGCACAGGTGCATCACCTTATAGTCCATCTAGTTCTTGCAATGGTTTAAATGGTTCTATTCATCGAAAAAATGGCTCGACAACTTTACATTCCACGGCTGAAGACGAAGAAAGTTCGGAATCAAACCAAGGGTATACTAATGGATACAGGGATGCTAAAAGTAAGAACCACTAAACTGTCTGTCTTCAAAACTCAAACAAAAATTATTCCATTTTATCGAATTGCAGCAAATGGTGCTGGTGTTACTCCTGGTTTGAGGAGGCGACGTGAAAGAGCAGAAAGACAAAGAAGTTTCATCAGAGAACAGGAACTTAGAAGCACGCCACCCAAAAGTTTCAGTAACGATGATGAAGAATCCCATAGAATGAACGGAGGATCCTACAGTCATGATAGTGATGGAATGAGTGAGTAATTTAGACTAATTTTCCACTCTTTAGATTTATATCCTATTTATTTGACTTGATATTATTTCTTAGGTAATGACAGCAGCACTGATGAAAGAAAGTTACTCTTACATCTAAAACGTGAAAATACAGTGAAAGACCTTACCCAGAAACTGGCCAACCAAAATATCCTCTCACCAGTGGAAGATCAAAATAAACCTAGCATTTTAGAAAATATGACTGGATTAATAACCAAAGCCAAAGAAGGTTTGGCTAAATCAAAATCCAAAGGCGAGTTGGCTAAAAGTCCCTCGCAGGAACAACAAATTATCAAACAGGACATTAAAAAGACTGAGAATGAACTGCATTGGGAGCAGTTGGTGCAGAATTTGGATAGGCCTTTGAATCTCTGTGATTTAGGTAAGAATACATCGATAAATCATATGGTGCAGATAATAATGAATATTCGTTTTAGATTTTACTGACTTGAAAAGTGATGAAGAAGACAACGGCTCCGGACCTCAAAATTTAAATAACGGTCCACCTCCACCTCCACCTATACAAGGAGGTATCCAAAATATAAAAGGAGGACCACCTCCTCCTCCTGGAAGTGTCCCTAATCCACCATTGTTTGGTGTCACACTTCAGAGGCATGTCAAAGCTGAATCGGAATCTCCTCCAAAGGTAAGTAATAATATTTCAAGTATCATCAGATTTTTGTAACCTGGTTTAATTTGTGCAGACTATACCAACAATCAAGAAAAATAAGAAGACTGTAAAATTGTTCTGGAAAGAAGTTGGAAATACGACAATGTCTGCAGTACCAACGACAATTTGGGATGAAATGGGTTCGGTGAAAGTGGATACTCATAAACTTGAACATTTGTTCGAAAGTAGAGCCAAGGATTTGATATCCAAGGTGAGAAAAATTTTATTTAGTTATTTCAAATAGTAGGAATGAATAAAATGATAGACGTTCATTCATTTTACACATTTTATAGGTGTTTGTAAATAATTTTGTTTAAATACCGTGAATAAATTATTTGGGTGATTTGTCAACCATTAGTTTATACAACTGCATTTTTTATCCAAAATCGTGTCTTCACAGTTTTTTTAAGTTTTCCTTAAGAAACTATTTTAAATTTGTCGCCAGTATTATGCATGATAATAATAAATGTATGATAAATAAATTCCTGTTAAAATTTAAACAAAACAAAATTTTTAGTAAAATATTTTTTTAATCATAAATAATTAAAAAATAGTATTTTAAAAGTAATGTAATAATATGCACAAACATGTAAAAGTAAAATTGTATAATTTGAAACTTCATTAATTACTTAATTATATAATGAAGCAGTGATATTAAAGTGAAATATTATATTAAAATATACCAATATAATTATACATATAGTATTTGAGATGGTGGAAGATATATAATAGTAATAAAAAACATTTTTATACAAATATCCGATTATTAAAAAAATATTTATTTTAGAAACATCTTATGTTTTGTTTTAATATTTGAATGGATGTATGCATAAAAATATTTTTGGTTACTATTATATATATGGTTTATTAATATCTAATAAAATATTTAAATTTATAATGAATTAGAAAAGGGGTTTAAAATATATTACTTCAAAAGTTTTCTGAAAATGAACAAATACTTAACACAACGCATTTACTAACGAATCGTATTAACAAATTTATTAAATTACCTTATTTAAATCATCTGTTTTAATAAAAAAGCACTAACTCATTCCACTAATATTTTCAACTAATAAAATAACAACCATCTATTAAAAATATATCATTAAAATATTTTTTTTTATTTTTCTGTTCCGGCTAAAATCGGTTCTTCTCATAATGTAGGAGGTGAGTAAAAAATGTTTGAAATTGGAAAGCTAAGAGTATGTTTGAGTGTTCGTGTTTTTGGAAAAAAAATGTTTTTTTTAAAAAAAAGTTATTTTTTAAATGATTAAAATTAATGTGTAATCGCAGTAGTTAATACAGTTGTACAGTATTTAGTAGTATGTAATTATTGTATGTTTGTAGATTTGTTATATGTTTCTGTTGGATGTGAGTTTTTTATTGATGATATTGATATAAGTATTATATTGACATCGATTATAAAAGTCGATGATCGTATATCAAAAAGCATATCAATATCGAAATTTTTGATAAATTTCTGTCGAAGCTGAAAAACGACTTATGCTTTTCGACTTTTGCTGCAGAAAATGGATTTTGATTTTTTGTAATTTATTTTTAAGCATGGTATCGTTATTGTAGTATAAATAAGAAAACTTGACAAAATTACAGAAACTATATAAATAATTTTTTACATTTGTCTACATACAAAATTTTTTAAACACTCGAACATATAATAAATTAATTTTAATGGAACTCACACCATCACAATTTACCCTAACAATAGTATCTATATTAAGTGGATGAAAAATATTAAATATTATTTTATTGCAATTACTCTAATAGATATTAGCCCTACCTAGATTTATCCATAAGAAAACGCTTTAAAACTTTTTATCTTCTCATGAAATAACAAGAAATTAACAAAATTGAGGAATTTACTCAGGAATGAGGAATTTATACAGACAAAAGTACAAAACCAATATTTGCATAAGTATATACAGAATCTTATTAAAGAACGTATAACTTTTAAATTTATTTCACACTCAAATATATAATAAAAAATTAATTTTATTCAATTTTACTTCACAACAACTCGATTTTACTCCACACTTTGCTTGATAAGTTGAAATAAATATTTTTGGTAACGCTCAAATTTTTATTAGATTGATGTTTAATAAAAATGTTTTTATGTTAGGTGTTTGAAAAATATTTAAAAAAAAAACTGAAACTCAAATAAATAGCATTTTGGGTCTTGCTATTAATAATAATTAATAAAGTTGCATACATGTATAAAATAGATATCAGCTTTGTCTAAATTTATCCTTTTTTTTTCTTATCAAGAAACAACAAGAAATGAACAAAAATAAAGAAATCATAGTCCTGGATCACAAGAGATCAAATGCTATAAATATTGCAATGACGAAACTTCCACCACCAAGAGCAATCAAGGCCGCAATATTAAAAATGGATTCTACAGTCGTAACCAGGGAAGGAATTGAAAAATTGTTAAATATGATTCCCAGTGAAGAAGAACGAGGAAAAATCCAAGAGGCACAGGTATAAATTTAGTTAATAATGCTAAATTTATTAAATTATTAAATTAATTTTGTTTTATAGATGGCCAATCCTGAGTTGCCTCTTGGTAGTGCTGAGCAGTTTCTTCTTACCCTTTCTTCCATATCAGAATTGGCTGCACGATTGAAACTTTGGGCTTTTAAGTTAGATTTCGAAAATAGTGAGGTAATAAATGAATAAAATATAGTGTTTAATATTTTATAATGTCACACAAACTCAATTTTTAGAGAGAAATCGCTGAGCCATTGATGGACCTTAAGCAGGGTATGGAATTACTAAGGGCCAATAAGACTTTTCGGGCAGTACTTTCGACTTTGTTGTCCATTGGAATATTTTTGAATGGTGCTCCAGTTAAAGGCTTCCAAGTAAATATTAAACCAGGATATGTAATAATAATAATTTGATTGTATTAACTTTTAAATCTATTTGTGCAGGTAGAGTATTTATCAAAAGTTCCAGAAGTCAAAGATACAGTTCACAAGCACAGCCTTCTACATCATTTGTGCCACATGGTTATGGAACATTTCCCACAAGCCACCGATTTATATTCAGAAGTAACATATAATTATTAAAAAATACAAATATCTTCTCAATCACTATTTTAAAAAAATCTATTTAATTTCCAGATAGGTCCTATAACCAGAGCATCCAAAGTGGACTTCCAAGAACTATCACAGAGTATAATCCATTTAGAAGCTGAATGCAAAGCTTCTTGGGATCGTCTACGTGCTCTTGCAAAGCATGAAGAGCAGCAAAATGCTGCTCAGCAGCAGAAAGGTAAAATCCAAGATTTTCTTCAAGATGCTGCACAAAGAATTATACTACTAGGAATTGTTAATAGAAGAGTGATGAATAGGTAAACATGAAAACCAGTTGATGCAATTGTTGATGAATAGAAAAATACAAAAAATTAATTGCAGGTATCGTAAATTTTTACTTTGGCTTGGAGTTCCACCTCATCGAGCCAACGAATCCAAACCTCATGAGTTCTGCAGAATTTTGTCAGAATTTGCCTTAGAATATAGAACAACTAGGGAACGGGTATTGCAACAAATAGAAAAGAAAGCAAATCATAGGGAACGCAACAAAACAAGAGGAAAAATGATCACTCAAGTAATTATCATACCTTTATTTACCAAAATACCAAAAATATCAATGCACTAGCAAAAATGATCAATCTTTCACCAGGTACCTGGTAAATTCCATTCCAAGGAAGATCGTGCTGATGCAGAACTTAGACAATTATTAGGAACAGAATCTGATATAGACTGCAACGGTACTGTAACTACTGGTGGTACTTTGACGTGGAGACGTAGAAGGCAGGATGCCGTTAAAATTCAGAGGTAAATAAGAATAAAGGAATATATTCCAATGAAACCTCCAGTTCCAAAAATTATATTTTTTTAAATTTTTTGCCAGAGATGAAAGTTTCACCGATGGTGACGATGAAATCCTCGAGTCCTTGGTCAAGACAGCAACTCAAGGACCAGCAAGAGGTCACCAACATAGTTCAGGAGGTCCAAGAGAGAGAAAAAGGACTAGGCATGCCGATAGAAAATCATGTAAGTAAAATAAATTCACCTAAATATTATAATTCAAACTGGATGATGTCACTACATTATACATGAATTTTATAATTTATTGTTATCATCAGTTGCAATATTTATATCAATTGTATTGTTGAATAGTGAAAAGATCCCGTACCAGAGAAGGATTTCCAATTGGAACAGAAATTGAACCATAAATTTAATGATTTTCGACAAGACTATCACTTAAGCTTCAGGTTGAAAAATGTTTTACTAAGCTTGATTTTTGCGTCGTTTGTGATAATGCAGCATGTTAATAATATTAAATTAATAATTATAAATTTGTTTAAACGCATGGAAGTTTTGACGTGTTAACCTTGTTAACCAAGAGCTTCGAATTACAAAACGTCTGATGTTTCTCTTAATGAAAATTTAAAACTTGTGCATATATAACTGTATTTCATGTACGAGATGGGCCATGGAATAATAAAAATTTAGAAAAAAGTGAAAGCAAATGGATGTCCTCCAAAGTTGCCAAAATCTTGGTTTTATCTCTTTTTGTAAAAAAATCTGCTGGAGGAATTCTGGACTTCTGCTTGAACTCTGAATATCACATCTTTAAAAAATCTGCTTTTTTAGAAGAACGTCTTAAAAATAGACAAAAATACTATAGCCTAGATGTAAAAACAAAGTCATCCTAAATCCGATACTTTTGAGTATAATTTCCACAAATTCTCAAATTAATTCATGGCTCCCTCTGTATGTGAGTTCATATAAGATTCTTACTGCTTCTTTGTATTTTCTTTAATAATTAAATAAACAAATAAATTATTTTGCAGTGCGCAGAACTCTGAAAAATGGACTGTCGGAGGAAGAAAAGAAACACCTGGCTGCTTACATCAAAGGATACTGATATTAAAAAGTGATACTATAAAAAATCTAGTTAAAATTTTGACTACCAGAGACTGTAATGAATTAAATTAATTCTATAACTAACAATCAGTCTTCTAATCGATGGGAAATTATATTTTACTGGAGCCGAAAACAATCTGATGTTGCATAATTTTGCTATGCATCCTAAAGTCTTTTTATATAATATTTATTAAAATAAGATCTATTATTTTTTAATATATATTAAATATAAATACAACAAACACGTATACGCTGAGGTATGGTGCATTATTTATTTTGTAAGTAACCTTTGCCATAATTAGTTTTGCATTACCGTGATTTTAATTATTACTAAAGTTGCTGTTTCATATATAAACATTTTGGTCTTCTAAAATATACCTTTTCCGATTTTGGCCTAAACAAATTTTCGTATAAATTTTATATGTGATTGCAACTTTATGTAGATTATATTTGTGATAGATACCGTTATTTGAGTTTTTTGTATAAAAATATATTTATAGTAATGCGTTTTTGCTGCAATTTTAGTTTTAGGAATGATTTTGATTTGCGACTCACAGATTTCTAAATAAATAAATAGAAAATCCGACTTGATTTCAAATTATTGCAACTAAATGAAACTTTTTAGGCATAATTAAAAATACATTGACTGTTGATATTATTTGAACTACAATACTCGCCAGTATGTAATATCTTAATACATTTGTAACATGTATAGTATTATAATATATTATTAGTCAATGATGCTTCATTTATGTATAATAAAATAATTATCAATAAAAAATTATTTACGTTAGAAGATTATTTGAACTTTTGCAGAACCTATACAAAAAGTGTCAAAAATTATCATTGAAATTTATTAACTAATATTTTCTGATACTAAATTACCTAATAATTATTATATGCAAGTAGACTTATTATTTGTTAAATTGATACTAAACTCCTTTTAATTCAATAATTTATATTTTGCTTTTCTTGTATACTTGGGTTCTATACAAGGTTCGAGCAGCCTGATATCAAGCAGCAACGACATCAGTTTTCACTTGGCCATATAAATAGCAAATGTTTCCAAGTAAAAATTTTACTCGGCATCAATAAAAAATTATCATTATTGGTAATAATAAAAATTCATCACATAGATATGGTACAACCACTTGGGTTGCCATAAAAAACCGACATAGTCTGTAAAGTATTAAAAATAACTACGTATATAATCAGGTATTAAACTGGAATGTTGTTTGTGCATTTACCTTGTTAATGTAGTCGGTCAATTTTATGAATTGATCTCGAATGTTATCTAAAATATCAGTTTTCTACAAATTTGTTTTTTACGAAAAGCCACATTCCTGCTTAAGTCCTGCGTGTTTTATATTATAGAAAAATACATTTCTTGTTTGGTAATTACCGCACTGGTAGGTACAATATTTGACGCCATACTTATGAAAGGTTATTAAGAACAAGTAAAAATATATTTAATTAACTTCCCGTAGGGTAAGTTAAAGTAATCGCAAAAAAATCGAAAATGAAAATTTTTATATATCTTTACGTTTCAGAGGTTTCTGAACATTTTGGCACACCTTAGAAAAAATGGATGTATGTGTGTGTGTGTGTGTGTGTATGTATGTGTGTGTATGTATGTGCGGATACAAATTTTCGTCGACGATTTCGGAACACGGATCAACCGATTTGAATAATTCAAAAAACATTCGATTTGTACTGATAAGGAGACGTGCTGATTAGTTTTTGGCGAAGTTAGGTCTAGCCGTTCCGAAGAACGGGGCAAAAAGTGCCAAAACGGTAACTCAGTTTTCAAGAGAACGGAGCGTCCGATTTGAATAATTCAAAAAAACATTTTACTTGTATTGGCAGATGAAGAGTTGATAAAATTTTCATGAAGGCAGGTCTAGCGGTTCGGAGGAGATCTAATGAAAAAAGTAAAAAAAAATGCCATTCGGCGGTTAAAAATGATGATTAGACATATGCACATCAAATTATCAGATATTGTATAGAAATTTTAACAATAAGTATAATTTTTTTTACATTTCTATGGGTTCCGTACCAATGTTTATGCGTTAGACGGCGGCGCGGCACTTGCGCTGTGACAATTCGTCTCTATGCAGTTCAAGCACTACGATTGCTTTGAAAAAAAGTTCAGAATTTCAGAATTCCAAAATATGTCAAAATGAAGAAAACATTTTTCTTTTCAAAAAAATAGTTTGTTTTCAAAAAAAAATTTTTTTCTTTCAAAAAAAAATTTTTTTTTTCAATAATTTTTTTTTTTTTTTAAAAAAAAAGTAATTTTTTGTCATATTCCTAGTTTCTCAATATTATTCGAAGTAATTTTTTTTCAAAAATGTTAATCGTTTTTAAAAAAAAAAATTTTTGGTACGGGAAGTCCCGCAATTTGCCTTAAGGCACGATGCCCTAATTGCCTTAAGACAGAATTCCACTTACAGCTAGTTTACCTTGGAATCTGGTAAGTTCCTGGCTTTGAAGAAACTAAATCTTAATTGATAATCCAAAATTTGGTGCCGCCGTGATTAGAAATAATCATATCCTCGGAACCCCTGTTAAATCTTGAACACAGCGAACTATACGAAAACACTATTGCTCTAATAAAAAGGAAATTATAAATAAAACTCACTGAATCACTAAACAACGAAGCTAATAAAAAAATTACGTAACGTAAAGTTGATTACTGAAACTGAACAGGTCGAAGCCGAAAGGTCGACTGACCTCAAATGAAAGCAAGGATCACATGGTTTTTTGGAAGGAAAGAGACGGGTATCCAGGATTAGAAAGAAATAGTTTTATTGACATATTGCAAAACCGAGGATGGCGACAATATTAATATCGATACCTGTACATTTCTTTATTTTCGTATCTCAACAGCAATCAGAAACCTTACGTCCTGTGAGCTATTGAGCTGAAACTTTTCCTTACTTAGTATTTTAGGTGGTAACCCAATGGTTAATCCATCCATGTTTGATGATTTTTGTTATTAGAATTAATCTAATAGGGCTGACTTTTATTGGTGCCTGGGTGGGGGCTATTTCTCCTTGAAAACATATTGCTTATCACCAATCGTTATCACTGCTGCCTGACAACAGGCTGCTCGAAGTAGTAGATATCGAACCCGGGACCTCTGAATCAAGTCCCTTCGTTCTTAACCGCGCACCTACGGGCGAGCCCTGATACCTGTACATGTAAGAATATTCATTAAGGTGTCACCATAATGTTTCAGAGTTCTCGGCATCCAGAAGTCAGATCGCAGTTTATACATAACAAGTTAGAAATTATATTGCAAACTTTGGTTGATATGCAGTCAGGCGTTTTAGGTAAAAAACCAAACCTAGGGAACACATAAATGTTAAAAAAAAATTATATTTCAACTGCATATTTTGTGATTTGGTATAATATATATAGTGAGTTGAAGTTGCATTTTATGTGTAAAACGCCTGATCGCATAGCAAATATATGGCATTTTGACAGTTTTAATACCATTTTGTATGAGGAGCAATACGTAATATTAGTCTATTTTACGGCAGAATCGGCTCCTAAATTTGAATGCTTGTAGCGAGATTTTTCCAAATCTGCTTCAAAATCTATGCCAGTGTTGTCTACATAAATTTTCTTGACTGAATCTGAAAGTAAAAAGTTATTCACAGTGAATAGTTAATACATTTTGAATGACTGTAAGTAGTTTACTGATTACTCTAAATAGTTTTGTTAATAAAATATCCTTTAATCCAAAGTTATTCATACAGCCACACCAAGAATACTATGCACTAAATTTTGTTTCGTAAATATTTTTTATTGATGTTTTAAATAATGTTTAGTTTTCTCCGTCCAATGTACCTTGGTAGACATCAGCTGAAAATTTGGTATAGCATATTTAAATACAAAAAATATTTTTTATGTCAGAAGTAGAAGAAAACTCACTAATTCTGGGAAGATCACACATCACTAGTTTTCTTAAGAAACAATGGTTATATCGTCGGATTTCCTCAATTGTCGAGCAAAAAGTAATGCATTTTTTAATTTATTCACATAGTCATAAATTTGAATGCAAATACAACTCCTAAATAATCATGTAGTTACAAGCAGCATTAAAAAATAATGTAAAAAAATTATATTTGTAAAACTGCTAATAAAAATAGATTTAAAATATAATACTCACCGCATAGTAAATAAATAAATATATTTGGGTGGTCCTTATATGGATGTTCTCGAAATTCTTGCTCTCAGGGTTCAAAATGCTTCCAAATTCATAAAAACAATGCTGTGACAGTTTTAGCTTTAATATTACCTTTAAGATAGTCCGCACTCCAACCAATTTTTTGGTTCTTTTTCCTAAGAAAATACTGATTTTATGAAATATATCAAATTTTTGTTGTATTTTGTTATTTATTATCAAAATAAGCAGCAAAATACCATGTTATTCTCGAAAATTTAATTCACTTGTCGCTAAGTTTTATAAAACAAAATAGAATTTACCTATGTTATTTCCATAGAAACTTTGGTTGGAGTGCGGACTATCTTAAAGTTAATTTTAACAGCTAAAACTTTC